TACAGGGCCTGGATGGGCAGAAAAGCAGACACGCGTCTGCTTTGGGTGTTCAGCTTCATGGTACAGTGTAGGCCACACACAGCAAGAACAGGAAAGTTCGCTGACCGAGGCCGCTGGGGCATACAACTCGCGAAGCCCACAACTTCAACAGCGATGCGCGTCGATCTCTGTATGCCGAGTTACCAGCACCAAACCCCTCACAGGACACCCTCCGCCTCGGCAACGACAGCGACGACGATGTCGTCGAAGTAACCAGCTTCCACGACTACGATCGCATGCACTATGAAAAGACCAACGAAACCGGCCTCCTCATCCTCGGGCTCGAAGTTGCTATTCGCCACGACTCCCCCAAAGAGCCCACCACCGTTCGCCAAGCTCTCTCTGGTCCCGAGAGTGAAAAATGGAAGGCAGCCATGGCTAAGGAGGTCGCAGCGCTCAAGACCCGTGGAACTTGGAAGCTGGTTCCCCGAACATCAGCAAAGGGGAGGAAGATTCTCTGCGGCAAATGGGTCTTCCGCATTAAAACACTCGCGGATGGCTCCATCGACAAATACAAGGCACGATGGGTGGTGCGCGGCTTCGAGCAAACTCACATGGTGGACGTCGACCTCACCTACGCACCTGTCGGGTGGCACACCTCCGTGCGCATCCTCATCTGCATCGCAGCCGTTAAACAGTGACCACTTCGCTAGATCGACGTCGGCAGTGCATTCTTGTACGCTCCGGTCGACGCCATTATCTTCGTCGAGCAACCACATGCCTTTGAGGAGAACGACGGCGCAGTCTGCCTGCTTCAGAAATCCCTCTACGGAATCACGGAAGCACCTCGCCTGTGGCAGCAGTATCTGCACACCGTCCTCACGGAATGTACCGGAAGGAGTCCCGCCAAAAATCCATCTCCTCGTTGCCTACGTCGACGATCTCCTCTACACCGGCGACGACACGGAGCTACTGGACCAGTTCGAAGCGGACATCAAGGAGAAGCTGGAGGTCACGATCAATCACAACGTTACACAATTCCTGGGTCTAAACATCACCCAGTCCGCCACCTCCATTCACCTCTCCGCCACCAAACATGCCGAAACACTCGCGAAGAAATTCGCCATCGCCCCCATCAACCTCACTACCCCCTTTCGCACTCCTCCTCCTAATCACGAACCAGACACCACGCCTCTCTCCCTCGAAAGTCATCAGCTTTATCAGCAGCAGCTGGGGTGCCTCCTGTTCGCCGCCGTCACGTGCCGGCCTGATCTCTCCTATATCGCAAGCCAGCTCACTCAGTACATGAAGCGACCTAAAGGGGAGAATATGCTGGATCTACGCCGTGCACTTCAAAACTTCATCTCTACTCCCGACGTCGGCCTCACCTACGAGGCTAACTTAACGGCTATCCTGCAGCTGCATGGCTACGTAGACGCAGACCATGCGGGAGATGTTGACAACAGACGCTCCCGCACATGATTCATTCTTCAACCTGCTGGACTCATCTCATGGAACTCTCAAAAGCAGGAACTCATCGCTCGTTCGTCAGCCGAAGCTGAATTCATCGCCGCCAGCGCAGCCGTTCGCGAAGGATTATACCTGATGGAACTACTGCACGAGGCGAAAGTGTGATGAACGGGCACTTTACGTTACTCTGCGACAAACAAAGCGCGATCAAGATCGCGAACAAGCCCGGCTTCGTGAACCGCACGAAACACATCGCCCTTCGCTACTTTTTCGTCACGGACGAAATCGACAAGGGCAAGGTCAAGCTCACGTACTGTCCAACTGGTGACATGGCAACCGACTTTTTGACAAAGAAACTGCCACGTCAACAGTTTCAGCACTGCGCCAATCTCTGCGGGATCACCAAGAAGTCCCACGGCTCACCTTCAGGAATGAAGGGAAGTGTTGAAATAACCGAAAGGTTATTATAAGCATTCCCGAAGGCTCTCCACTCTCGCGTCACTTCATAGCGAAGCAGGCGCCTGTATCAGTACCGCATTAGCTCATATAGAGCACGCGGAAGGTCAAGGGTCACCCGAAGGTCAACAGTCGAAGACAGTCAACGGTCGTGACCCTTGACTGCCCAGTAACCGCACAAAGGCAGTTGCAAAGTGCAACATGGTAACTGTCTAGAATGGCAATAGTCATGGTTACTGTAGCAATGCAATTCAGTTAATAAGGGAATGTACCCCTCAGAGTACATGGCTAGCTAGGATTGCTATTTATAATCTTGTTCTCCTTCAACTTATTAACAAGGTCATTACAGAGACTTTACAATTCTCTCTTACACTTAGCAGCATTATCCTATCCACTACGATCCTTCAGTTATAACATCAGCTGTGATGCTGCCGTGTTGGCGTCCACGTGTGTGAGGTAGCTGGGGGGGCATAGGCGGAGGAGACACCGGCAGACGAAACGCGGGCAGAGAATGCAGAATGAGAGATAGGCATTGAGAGTGCTGGCCAGCGCTGCAGAATGAGAGATGCCAGGGGTGGTGGGGGACAGTGAACGTGTCCATGTGGTGGGGGACCGTGAACGTGTCCATGTGGTAGGGGACATTGAACGTGTCCATGTGGTGGGGGACCGTGAACGTGTCCATGTGGTGGGGGACAGTGAACGTGTCCATGAGGTAGGGGACAGTAAACGTGTCCATGTGGTGGGGGACAGTGAACGTGTCCATGTGGTAGGGGACAGCAAACGTGTCCATGTGGTGGGGGACAGTGAACGTGTCCATGTGGTGGGGGACAGTGAACGTGTCCATGTGGTGGGGGACAGTGAACGTGTCCATGTGGTAGGGGACAGTGAACGTGTCCATGTGGTTACACGAACATGCAGCGAGTGTGCAGCTGTGATGGTGACAACATGTAGATAGCTATGATGGTGACAACATGCAGACAGCTGTGATGGTGACAACAAGCAAACAGCTGTTTCACGATCATGACATGGCCCCATGGCTCCAGCAGCACCACGAGTTTAGGCAGCTGGAAGGGGAAATCACAATGCTTGGGGGCAGATGAAAGGGGAACTTACAATGCTTGGGGGCGGATGGAAGGGAACTCACAATGCTTGGGGGCAGATGGAAGGAGAACTCACAATGCTTGGGGCCAGATGGAAGGGGAACTCACAATGCTTGGGGGCACATGGAAGGAGAACTCACATTGCTTGGGGGCAGATGGAAGGGGAACTCGCAATGCTTCGGGGCAGATGGAAGGGGAACTCACAATGCTTGGGGGTTGATGGTGCGGCGATAACTCAATCAACGGGAGCTAGAATACGGGCTAGGCACGGGTCTAGAGTGATATCTGCATTCGTTCCTTAGTTGTTTCCTTGTGCACATACTGCTTGCTAGTTCACAGGGAGAATTGGCAAGAGTTTCACTAGGAAAAGTTGACAATATTGGCAACACAGAATACATCAGAGCTAGCAAGGCTGCTGGTCGACCTCCAGCGCAGCACCGTCGACCGCAATCCAGCGCAGCAGAGCTCGCACCGCTCCAGCATTGCAGAGTAGCGGTTCACCAACGTTGCAAGTCCATGGTGCGCCAACGCTGCAGCAAGTCGGTTGCACAGTGTTGCACCCACAAGACAACGGTGCACCTGCTTCGTAGGTGCGTGCAGCTGGTTGCTGCGCCACTCCTCGTCTCAGGCACAGCGTAGACGCCTGGCGGAGTCCACGCCAACGACTGCGCCCACCAGCCACGTCAACCTCGGGATACCACCCCCGAGGTCGGTCTCGCAAAAGCCACCCCGGGGACCTTCGCACACGTCGCCCGGGTATCCCGGTCGGCCGGGCAACCTCGCACGGTTGGCCAGCCCAGTCAGTTGCCGACCACCCGTAACCGGCGTCCCCAAGGTCGGCGCCCGGCGTCCTCCCAGGTCGACCCACTAGTTCGACGCCCGCTTGCTCGGCGCCCTACTACTCGGCCCTAGCTCCCCTGTCCAGACTTCGGCGCCCCTTGCAGTGGCCCCCACGCAGATCGACCATCCTTGTCGACCAGTGTGCCGAACTCGGCGTCGCCCATTGCAGCTGACCGGCTGCACTCCCCGTGCACCCGCCTACGTAGTCGGCTCGGCCCAAGCGACTCCTATTGACACTCCCCTGCCGCGTTCACGCTTGGGCCCCCAGCCCACACGACGGCACTTCTTCGAGAATAGCTCGTCGGCGTGCACCCAACACACAGCACGCCGGTTGCCGCACCAAACCTGTTAGAGGGCATGGCAACTACTGTTGCACGTCGTTGTCGCCGTCGCCTACGTTGACCAGGCACACTTGGCCGATTGCGACAGAGCACCGGTTGAAGGCCGAAAAGTGCAGCGCCTTCGTCAGGAATTCGATCGGCTGCTCAGCGGTCGGGATGCACTTCAGCGAAAACTTCCCGTGCCTCACCATGTGCCGCTCCATGTGGTTGAGGTTGCTTGTCAACCCCATGCCCTAGGCGACTGTGATGGCCGTCTTGTTGTCCACCCGCAGGACAGTCGGCCTCCCTGCGTCCAACTGCCGGAACTCTGCAAGGAGGAAGCGAAGGCGACGTCCCTCCTTGTCGGCCTCAGTGGCTGCCACGTACTCCGACTCGATTGACGACAACGTCGCGCAGTTGATGCGCTGGCCCCTCCGTAGACGCACACGTAGTCACCCATGCTCGTCCGGTTCTGCTTGTCGCCGGCGTCCACGTAGCCGACCAGCTTCAGCGACCCGGGTCCACCGCCAAACTCCAGGGCGGTGTTGCGCATGTTGGCGAGGTAGGCAAGGCAGCGGTCAACCTCGCGCGGTTGCTGGTCACTCCTCACCGTACGGCCGCTCCCCAGCTTGCTGCAGGCAAAGGCGATGTCCGGCCTCGTCATTGTTGCCGCGAACTACAGCAAGCCGACCTTCTGCCGGTACTCCTCCTCCTGGCGCTCCTGTGCCTCCTCGTCGTCGAAGGTGAGCTCGGCGTAGGCATCGGCCAAGACCGACGTCTTTGGGGTACGCCCGGTCTGCTCCTCGTAGAAGAATCGCCTACGCAGCTTGTCGGTTTAGCCCTGCTGGTGGAGCCACAACTTCGTTGCCGGCCTGTCGCGCACGATCTCCAGCCCGAGGTACTTCTGCACCAGCGAGATCTCACGCAGCTCGAAGGCAGCCTCTAGCAGCTCCTTCAGCTCCTTCAGCATCTTGGTGCTGCTGTTGGCGGCGAGCAGGTCGTTGACGTAGACCAGCATCCAGCAGGCCACACCGTCGTTGCCGATCATGAAGTAGAGCGCCGTGTCGACCTGGCTCTTCTTCCAGCCAGCGCCCAGCAGCACGCCATCGAGAGCCCTGTACCACAACAGCGGCGACTGCTTCAGCTCGTAGGGGCTCTTCAGCAGCTTGCACACCCGGCCAGTCCCGTCGTTGAAGTAGTCCGGCTGGTTCATGTATAGCACCCGGTCGAGCTTGCTCTGCAGGAAGGCGTTCTTCATGTCGAGCTGCATCAGGTTGAGGTCGAGGATGGCGACGAAGCTGAGGAAGATCCTCAGTATGACGTAGCTGCTCATCGGTGCGTACGTCTCGTCATAGTCAGCGCCATACACTTGCGTGGAGCCCTTCATGACCAGCCTCACCTTCTCTTGCTTGACGGTGTCGTTGATGTGGTACTTTGTCGTCAACACCCACCGGTTCTTCATGATGTTCACCCCAGGTGGGCGTTCGACCAGCTCCCAGGTTCCCAGGCCGATGAGGCTACGGATATCCTCCTCCATGGCAGCCTTCACCGCCTTGCCCTTCCAGCTCGCCAGCTCCTCCTTCACCGTCATCGTCGAGATGTCCCAACGGTGCTCGGGGTCGGCGTTCATGTCGGGGTCGAGCTCCGGCAGTTCTTCATCCTCCTCGGCGTCGTCGTACTGCAGGTCGTCGTCGAACTCGTCGTACACTGTGGTGAAGGCGGCCGGTACGAAGAAATTGGGTGGCCTCCAAAGTTGGCCTGTACGCAGTGGTCCAGGCTAGACCTCCACCACGTCGCTGTCGGTAGACTCCTCGTCGTCCACTCCATTGTCACCGGCGTCGCTGCCTTCAGCGTCCTGCTGCACCGCAGTTGGCATCTCTGCCGACTTCTCCCCTACAGTCGGCTCCCCTGCCGACCGCCCGGACACCGACTCCTCCGTGGTCGGATTTACGGCTGCCTGCTCCCCTGTCGGCTGCTGCTGATGCCTTCTTCGCCAGCTTCACCAAGGTCGGCTGCACCTCTTTGACCTGCAGCTCCTCTGTCGACTGCTCCGTTCCCACGCCGAGTTGCATGGCGTCACTTCGGCCACCGGCGATGCACTTGGCCGGCGCCACAGGCGACGCCCCACTGCACCCCCCATCGCCACTGGCCGACGTTGACGTCGGCTCAAGCACGTCGGCTACAAGGGGTGGGGTAGGAAGGACAGGGGAAGGGGAAAGAGGATGGACGGCCTCAGCGTCCTCATCAGCAAGCTCACCGACCTCGGCGAGCAGAGAGAGCGTCCGTCGGCGGGTTGACCTGCATCCGCCCCGACGCCGGCCCCTGCGCCGACTTCCACACCTCCAGCAACATAGTTTTGTAGAACACCACGTCCGACGTGGTGACCACACGGTTGTCGGCGATGTCAAGGAGCTCCCAGCAATTGCTCTTCTCCGACACGCTAAGGTGAAGGCCCCACCTGGCCTTCGCCTTCAGCTTCCCACCGTGCTGCGGGACGAGAAACTGGGCCATGTAGCCCCACACCCGTTCCAGAGACAAGTCGAGCTTGTGCTCGGTGACCACCTGGTACGGCGTCGTCCTCGGCGGTAGAGTCGACCTCTCAAGGCAGTTGCGGACCCAGGCGGCCTGCCACAGAGCAAGGTGCCACCAGTGGTTCTGCACGCCCATGTGCAGAAGCATCGTCCGCACCAACTCCACCACCGTCCTCATCTCCCGCTCCGCCATGACGTTCTGCTGCGGGGTGTACGGGCAGATCAAGTCGTGGACGATCCCCTTGCCGTCCACGAAGGCGGTGAAATCCTTCCCGAGGAACTCCCCTCCCCGGTCAGACCGCAGCATCAGCAACGACTTCTTCGTCTGCCGCTCAGCCATCGCCAGTCACTGCACGAACTCCTGTAGGACGTCCGACTTCTTGGCGACCAGCCTCACCACAAATAGAGGGTCTTGCGGTCCTTCAGAAGCAATAAGTACATACTGCCGTCCTTGGCAGTTACGCTGAACGGCCCGCACAGGTCAATGTGCACGACAGCCAGCACGTCGTCCGCGTCAGAGCCCTGGTCGGGGAAGGTGTGCCCCGCCAGCTTCCCGCTGACGCACGAGACACACGGTGAGTCGGCGCCAGACGCCGACTTGAGGTCCAGCCCAGTGGCGACCTCGTGCTTCGCCGAGCTCCGTATGGTGTCCATGGCGGCGTGCGCAAGCCTCTCATGCAGCCTGTCCGACGTCGACTTCGTCGCCGAGACTATCGCTTGCAGGGCCACTACCTCCGTCGAGGTCGTCGTCGACTTCGTCGAGCAGGGACGTAGGTCGGTGCAGAGGACCCGGCCAGAATAGGACGCTTGACCGAGGACGTTTTCTGCCACTGTGACAAGCAACATCCCGTCGCCGTCCTCCTTCAGCTTCACACCGTTCTCCTTCAGCTTCACACCGTTCTCCTTCAGTTGGCCAGCCGAGAACAGATTCGCGTGCACGCCCGGGGGGGCGTAGAGCATGTCGGAAATCAGCACATGCTTCCAGGCCTCTCCTTGCAAGGCGACCGTGCCCCAGCCCTTGATGTCATGCAGCGCCCCGTTGAAGCCGTGCACGTGCCTGATGTCGCCGCTCGGCTGCATGTCGACGTAGACCTCATTTGCCCCCATCAGGTGATGCGAGCAGCCGCTGTCGAGCAGGACCACCGCCAGGTTCGCCTGCACAACCTCTGCCATCGCCTGGAAATCCTCGCCGGCCTTCGGCGCCAGCGAGACGGTCGGCTCCACGATGCCGACCAGCGAGCACGACGCCTCCTTGTAGTCCCGCCCCTTGCCGCCAGCAGAGGAGTCGGCTTCCTTCTCTGGTGTCGACTTGCTCGATTACTTCTCCTTGTGCGGCTTGCTCTCCCGGCAAGGGTAACGCCTGGACGACCTCCCTCCGCCACACTTTGAGTCGTCGTCGTCCGAGTCACTGCGGTCGGGGCACTCGAAGGAGAGATGGTCGAGGTCGCCGCACAGCCAGCACTCCTGACGTCGACTTCCTCCTCAACGACCGCTCTCCTTAGCCGACTTCTTCTTGTCGCTGTCCTTGGTCGGCCTACCGCCACTGCTTCCACTGCCGCCAGACTGCCCACGCTGCCCTGGATGGCTTCCCTGCTTTGTTGGGGTGACGTAGTTCGTCTGCGGCAAGAGTTCCAAGGACCGGTCGGCCTCCTGCATCGCCTCGTCCCTCAGGATGTACGAGGTCAGCGAGTCCTCGTTGAGTGTCGCCCGCGTGATCACCACCACCGACAACCGCTTCATAAGGTTGTAACTGCTCAGGAAGCCCTTCAGGACGTGCGTGACATATGACGACGTCGAGTACTGCACGACGGACATTCTCATGGTGGCGAGAAGCTGCTGAGCCCGGTTGCAGTAGTCCATCGCAGTCTCCTGGTCGCCCATCCGCATATGCGTCATCTGCTCCTCGAGCTGGCCGATGTACAGGTCGTCGGTGACCTGGTACGTCGACTCGATGAAGTGCCACGCCTGGTGGCCGGCGTCCAAGTAGTCCCTGCATGGCTTCAAGGCGATTTGCATGCCCAGGAAGCAGCACCGCGAGATGACCCTGAAGGTCAGCAGGTGCACTACGCGGAACTCCGCTTGCAGGTTGGGGTAGCTCTCCGACGGCGTTGCCACGGCGCCCCTGGCGAAGCCGATCAGCCCAGCCATCTCCAGTTGGGGCTCGATGGCTTCCTTCAACGTGAGTATGTCGGGGAGGCCGACCAGCAGGGGGGTGACCGAGATCTTGTCTGGCGTGAATTTGAAGTAGCCGTAGCTCGGTGCTATCCCGCTCGCAATCACATGGGTCGCCGACATCGGCGACAAACCGCTTCGTCGACCTCCGACGTCGCCTTGCGAAGAGTCTGCAGCCACCAATTACTGCATCCCTTGCGCCTGAACGCCGCCGACTTCATCGGCGTGGATTTCTCCTCTCTGACTCGACGACGTGCCTCCCGCACTACTGCCGTCTTGGTCACCGGTTGTTGATGCCCGCATCGACGCCGCCCTCGTTGTTCACCAGTCGAGGAGAAGCAGGTCGAGAAGGGTGCTCTGTCGCCCATACGGCGCGGATGCCAGCCTCGACGACTGCCCAGGGGATGTCCTCGTACTCGCGCGCCTCATGGCGTCTCCTTGAATCCTCCAGTCGTGCCTCTAAGGTGTGTGCAACACCAACGTCACCTACGCCAACCATGGTGGTGACTAACGCACAGCTGCCTGCCTACGAAAAACTTAGGTATGTGGCAACTATGTCGACTAGACTGAAAGGTAAGTCGTGTGCTGTCCACGCTCACTGCACCATGCGGAGATAATGTCAGAATGAACAAGAGTGCAAAAGAAGAATAACGAAAGAGGGGTTTCACTAGCATGAGTTGGGATACATATAGCAAACCCTAACTGGGTTGTACTCGCTATAGAGCACCCCACTACAGGCTAGATAATAACATTCTGACACACCCCCATAGCCAAAGTGGGGTGTAATCAGCACAATGAGCAGACATAGTAATAGTTCACAATTATAAGCAAAGCTAGAGGCGATCACAGAGGGAAAGTGAGGAGGAGGAGGAATTGTGAAGGGAGAGAAGATGGGAGACGACGGCTGAAGTTGTAGACACACGTGTCAGAATATTATGCTCTAGCCTGTAGTGGGGTGCTCTATAGCGAGTACAACCCTTCTAGGGTTTGCTATTTGTATCCTCATTCTTGCTAGTGCAAACTCTCTTTTGCCTAACTCTCTCTTGCCTAGCTAGGTAAACCCTAGCTATGGCTCCTCACTATACCTACTACTCTCACATGCTATCAGAGCAGTGTCGCTCCTGGCCTGTGGGCCCGCCTGCTTCCGCTGCCCTACTGTCTGTCGCGCGCCCCGTGGCGTGCGATGTACATTTTTCTTCCCGCCACGTGCTCAGGGCGCGTGGCGGTTTTCTGCCCACCATGCGCTCGGGACGCGTGGCGGTTTCCGTCAACCCGCGCGCCCGTCTCTGTCGACCTTCGCGCGGCTCCCCGTTGCCCTTCGCGGCGGCCCCGTCGACCCGCCCGCGGCTCCCCGTCGCCCTTCGCGGCGGCCCCGTCGACCCGCCTGGGCTCCCCGTCGACCTTCGCGGCGGCCCCGTCAACCCGCGCGCGGATCCCCGTCGCCCTTCGCGGCGGCCCCGTCGACCCGCGCGCTGCCCCCGGGGACCTGTGCGCTCGTCCCCGTCGACCCACGCGTCGCCCTCCGCCCCCCCACCCCCCCCCCCCCCCCCCCCCCTCCCCGACACACCTGAGTCTGCTTACCGCACACCTGAGTTCACTTCCCGCACACTTGTGCACTATTCGCGCACACCTGAGGTCGCTTACCGCACACTCAGGGTATGGGGGTGACGGGTATGGGGGTGGCGGGTGTGTGAGCCGTCACCTGCTCCTCCTCCTCCTCCGTCTCCCACTACTGCAGCTGCCGCTGAGGGGGGTGGGTGTGTGGGAGCCGAAGGAGTGGTGCTAGGGGGGTGCTATGGGAGTGGAGCTAGGGTTTTAGCAGGGGGTGTGTGTCAAGGGGGGGTGGGACTGTTTGGGGAGGTTGCACGGAGGTTGCCGTCGTGTCGCCAGCAGCACCTGTAGTCCGGGGAGTTGCTCCGGTAGCCCAGTCGCAGCCACCTGTGCCAGTCGCCCGTGGGTCCGTTGCTTGTCTGCCGCTACTTTTAGCCGCGGGGCCAGTTACTCCAGTAGTCCGGAGCGCTGTTCCGGTAGCCGCTGTGCCAGCGTGCCTCCTGTTGCCCGTGTGTCTGCAGCTTCAGTCGTCGCCTCCTATCTCCTCTCCTCTTACAGTCTCGCCTCCTCCTCCTCACTTGCCCTCTGCGATAGCCTCTAGCTTTGCTTGCATTTGTGAACTTTAAACTGTTGCTTCTTGAACTTGTGCTCAGAATGTGTGGTGACATTGTGATCCACCCTGAGCTTGTTTTGCTTTGCTTGCTCTGCTGATTACACCCCACTTTGGCTATGGGGGTGTGTCAGAATATTATGCTCTAGCCTGTAGTGGGGTGCTCTATAGCGAGTACAACCCTTCTAGGGTTTGCTATTTGTATCCTCATTCTTGCTAGTGCAAACTCTCTTTTGCCTAACTCTCTCTTGCCTAGCTAGGTAAACCCTAGCTATGGCTCCTCACTATACCTACTACTTTCACAACACGCGCAACAGGAGAACTGGCACAGTGGCTACCGAGCGCACGAGGGCACCGAACTACGGGAGTATCTGGCTCCGCGGCTACGACGAGCGGCAGGAGCAACGGACCCACAGGGGACTCGCACAGCAAGGCTCTCTGGGCTACCGAGAGCGCGATGGCTCCGGACTATAGGCGCTGCGCACGACACAACGGCGGCCTCCTCTCAGCCTCCCCAAACATTCCCACCTCCTTTCCACACACCCCCTGCTGCACCCCTAGCTCCACTCCCACGTCACCCCCACAACTCCACTCCCCGCGGCTCCCACACCTCCACCCCCCTCAGCATCAGCTTCAGCAGTGGGAGACGAACAAGGAGGAGGGGAACACCCACACTACGCACCCCCATGCTTGCAACCCGACACACCCCACCACCGCGGAACACACGGCGGCACGGGAGGAATGGGCAGCACGGGGGGGGGGGGGGGGGGGGGGGGGGGGGGGGGGCGCTCCTCTTCAGGGCGCCGAAACGGACGGGCGAGAGGCGCGCGCAGGGCGCGCGCGACAGACGAGCGGGAGGCGCGCGGAGCTCCCCAGGGCGCCGGGACGGACGGGAGGGGGCCGCACGCTACTCCCCAGGGCGCCGCGACGGACGGGACGCGCGGCCTGCAGGGCGACGCGACGAGACGGGCGGGGGCTGTGCGCGGGTCCTCATAGCAAAAAACCGCCGCGCGCCCCGAGCGCACGGCAGGAAGAAGATGTCGCGCACCCGAGGCGCGCGAGAAGTAGAACAGCAGTGGAAGCAGTTAGGTGGCGGGCCCACCCACAGGATCGACCCAAGGGGGTCGACCTGCTCTGATAGCATGTCATGATGAACAAGAGTGCAAAAGAAGAATGACGAAAGAGGGGTTTCACTAGCAGCAGTTGGGATACATATAGCAAACCCTAACTGGGTTGTACTCGCTATAGAGCACCCCACTACAGGCTAGATAATAACATTCTGACAGATAACTCAATCAACGGGAGCTAGACTACGGGCTAGGCATGGGGCTAGAGTGATCTCTGCGTTCGTTCCTTTGTCGTTTCCTTGTGCACACAGTGCTTGCTAGTTCACGAGGAGAATTGGCAAGAGTTTCGCCAGGAAAAGTTGACAACAATGGTTGCAACAAGATTGGCAACACAGACTACGTTAGAGCTAGCAAGGCTGCTGGTCGACCTCCAGCGCAGCACCGTCGATTGCAACCCAACGCAGCAGAGCTCGCACCGCTCCAGCGTTGCAGAGTAGCGGTTCACCAACGTTGCAAGTCCATGGTGTGCCAATGCTGCAGCAAGTCGGTTGCACAGCGTTGCACCCACAGGTCAACGGTGCACCTGCTTCGTAGGTGCGTGCAGCTGGTTGGTGCGCCACTCCTCATCACAGGCACAGCGCAGACGTCCGGCAGAGTCCACGCCAGCGACTGCGCCCACCAGCCACGTCGACCTTGGGATACCACCCCTGAGGTCGGTCTCGCAGAAGCCACCCCGGCGACCTTCGCACACGTCGCCCGGGTATCCCGGTCGACCGGGCAACCTCGCCTGGTCGGCCAGCCCAGTCAGTCGCCGACCACCCGTAACCGGCGTCCCCAAGGTCGGCGCCAGCTGGTCGACGCCCGACGTCCTCCCAGGTCGACCCACTGGCTCGACGCCCGCTTGCTCGGCGCCCTACTACTCAGCCCCAGCTCCCCTGTCCTGGTCGACGTCGGCTCCCCCTTCGTCGACCACCAGAACTCGGCGCCCCTTGCAGTGGCCCCCATGCAGATCGACCATCCTCGTCGACCAGCGTGCCGAAATCGGCGTCGCCCACTGCAGCTGATCGGCTGCACTCCCCGTGCACCCGCCTACGTAGTCGGCTCCGCCCAAGCGAGGACGGGGCCAACAACGACTCCCGTTGACAGATGGAAGGGGAACTCACAATGCTTGGGGCAGGTGGAAGGGGAACTCACAATGCTTGGGGGCAGATGGATGGGGAACTCACAAGGCTTGGGGGCGCGGTGGCCACAGGGGGGGCATGAAGGGGCTGGCAGCACAGCGCACGCCCATTTGCTGCACCTGCCACACCAGCGACACCTGCGGCCCCTCGCCCTCCCTGCATCACCCCTCCTAGCTAGTGGTGCTGCCCCCCATGCCTCGCCCACTGCCTGCCTCCCCAGTGAAGGTGGCAGCACCGGCCTCCCTGCCCTCAGCAACAAGTAGCGCCCCTGCCCCCTCCACCCCAGCGCCATCCGCCTCTGCTGCACTGCCGGTAGAGCGAGCCCTCGTGGACCCCGTCATATGCTGTGCTGCTGCCGCCCCATGCTGCCACCTCACCTCATTCCCAGCGCCACTCTCGCTGTGCCCCGAACTGCCTATGATCTGACAAATGCTTTCTGTCCGGTGCTGCTGCTTATGCTCATGCTCATGCTGTGAATGGCGATGGCAGTGGCGGTAGTGGTGGGGAAGGCGAGGCCTGTGCGCGAGTGAGAGTGTCAGCCGCACACGGTGGTGCCCCACAGCCAACCCCATGCGACCATGCACTCCCCCATCCCCTCTGCCTCCACCACTGCTGCCCGTAGCAGCAGCACCACCACCACCACTTGTCCTGCACAGGTTACCACTACCACCAGCCGCACCTCTTCTGTTCCCATGTGCACCACCAGTGCCGCTTCTATGCCCCCCCTCGCTTCCACCCCCCCTTTCTCCAAGGTAGGCGCGCCTGACGAGTCGGCCAACGCTGGAGGAGAAGCCGGAGAGCGACGCCACGGTCTACTGCGACACGTGGCGCCACGCTGCCAGCCCCCCGCGCCCCACGCCCAGCAGCAGCAGCCCGTGCGGCCCCGCGTGCAGCGAGCCCTGCACGGGCAGCAGCAGCAGGTCGCGGCAGGCGGCGCGCACGCTGTGCAGCAGGCCCAGCGGGTTGAGCAGCAGGTGGTGCGAGGCGATGACGCGCGGCACACACAGCACCCCCTCCGTTATGTAGTGCGCCAGCATGGAAGTGGGAGTACTTCATTGGGGCAAAACTCATGGAACGTGTGATTTGTGTTTCCTATCAAACTTCTGGATGAAATCTGCACTCATCACCGTTGCCTTGGTTCTGAATTTCTCATCAGGGTTTCCTTGTCAAGTTGGGCATTCATGTGTCCTTCTGTGGCAGGTCTGCCTTAGGGCATACTATTGGTCATTCACAGCAAGCGTCGTCTGCAAAAAGGGCAAATCCAAGAAAGTGGTCACGTGCTCAACTATTTTTGCTACATGTATGTCAGAATCCCAACTAGAATCCCAACCACTAGACCATTGGGATAAAAGGGCTTATTTCAATAGCGGGTCAGTGCGCCCATAACCTCCCAGACGAACGCGCCTGTAACCCTCTCCAGGATCAATCGGGCATCCACAGTGCAGATCTACTGACACCCCCCCACACTGGGAGGCCCAGGACTAAGCACAGCGGCAACGGCCTACATGTGCATACATCGGGAATCGAACCCGAGACCGCTCTGATACCATGTCATAATCCCAACCACAAGACCATTGGGATAAAAGGGCTTGTTTCAGTAGCGGGTCAGAGCGCCCATAACCTCCCAGGCGAACGCGCCTGTAACCCTCTCCAGGATCAATCGGGCATCCATAGTGCAGATCTACTGACACCCCCCCACAATGGGAGGCCCAGGACTAAGCACAGCGGCAACGACCTAAATGTGCATACACCGGGATTCGAACCCGAGACCGCTCTAATACCATGTCAGAATCCCAACCACTAGACCATTGGGATAAAAGGGCTTGTTTCAGTAGCGGGTAAGTGCGCCCATAACCCCCCCAGGCAAACGCGCTTGTAACCCCCCCTAGGATCGATCGGGGATCTCACAGTGTAGCTCTACTGACACCCCCCCACACTGGGAGGCCCAGGACTAAGCACAGCGGCACCGGCCTACATGTGCATACACCGGGAATCGAACCCGAGACCGCTCTGATACCATGTCAGAATCCCAACCACTAGACCATTGGGATAAAAGGGCTTGTTTCAGTAGCGGGTCAGAGCGCCCATAACCTCCCAGGCGAACGCGCCTGTAACCCTCTCCAGGATCAATCGGGCATCCACAGTGCAGATCTACTGACACCCCCCCACAGTGGGAGGCCCAGGACTAAGCACAGCGGCAACGACCTAAATGTGCATACACCGGGATTCGAACCCGAGACCGCTCTAATACCATGTCAGAATCCCAACCACTAGACCATTGGGATAAAAGGGCTTGTTTCAGTAGCGGGTAAGTGCGCCCATAACCCCCCAGGCAAACGCGCCTGTAACCCCCCCTAGGATCGATCGGGGATCTCATAGTGTAGCTCTACTGACACCCCCCCACACTGGGAGGCCCAGGACTAAGCACAGCGGCACCGGCCTACATGTGCATACACCGGGAATCGAACCCGAGACCGCTCTGATACCATGTCAGAATCCCAACCACTAGACCATTGGGATAAAAGGGCTTGTTTCAGTAGCGGGTCAGTGCGCCCATAACCCCCCAGACGAACGCGCCTGTAACCCTCTCCAGGATCAATCGGGCATCCACAGTGCAGATCTACTGACAATGTAAATATAAAAAATGCCGATTTTTACAAATACAATGGCAAGAATCGCTCTGGTGATATTGGCAACAGCAAGACAATATGTGCGCCCCACCCTCCTAGATAGATATGTATATATGATTCTGTGAAGTTTATCGGGTCGTCAGGATTTTGCGAGTGCTTTGGCAATGTAAACCTGAGAAAAGTCCTTTGAGTTTTATAGAAACTAATGTGAGGAATTGTACCAGCGAAGTCTTGAGAATTCTTGTACTAGTACTTACTGGGTTAACCTGCTTTGTGCATACCTCTCTCACTGCCTTGTCCCAGCCCCTCAAACCTGCACCACTCACTTCACCAGAGTTATCCACCTCTTCAGCACTCCCTTCCTCAGTCCTCCTCCCACACCCAAAGCCCGACCCTTCTTCTCTATCGACGGCAACCCCTACCTTGTCACCACTGTCTCTTATGTGTGGACTAACACGAACATGGTCACAACATATCCTAACCGAGCCTACGGACAAGCCAATGCTAACAGTGATTCTGCAAACGTAAGTCACAACCCACTCACAATTCCACCAGTGTCCAACCTTGGATGGTACTACCAGTGTTCCTTTACACGCACTCTTACCTGTCAGGCTAGTAATAGCAGAACCCACACGGTGCATGTGATAACATAGCTACGATATGCTTGTCCCTGGCATGTCTTTGCGCTCCGCACGGGCCATTTCAGCAGTGAAGCCAGATGAGCTGGTGGAACTTCCAACCTCCATGTCTATGCCAGATATGACATTGCTTACATGTGCTCCGAACGCCTCTTGCTTCAACTTCAACAGCTCCCCCAGCACTTGATTCATGGATGGGCAGGAGGCTACAGGCATGGGGGTGCAGGAGAGGGCAAGGCGAGCCAAGTGCAGCATGATATCATCTGGTGCGTCCAAGCGAGGGTCCTTAAATGCCAACATAGCACCTAAGCCCACCAACGGGGCCACCTGCCAGGTTGAATGCACATGCCACATGGAAAGAAAAGACAAAAAGCAGAATGATAGAAAGGCAAATCAGATGATAAATATAGAGTGCGGCAATAAGTTGAGTGTTCATCTTAGCCACACTTGTCTCGCTCATTGCAACATGTGTACTACTGAGAAAATGGGGTAAAGAGCATGTGAACTGGCCTTCTTAAGTTCGATAAAAGGGAACAAGAAAATCTTGAAAGAATAGTCCTTGCAAGAATGGTAGTAGTAGCATGCAATATCACTCCATAGTGCAGCTGGTGGATTTGTAATCGTGTGTTGCAATACCTCTGCTAGCCTTGGTATAAAACTGTTCACTATGTCTTACCCATTGTTTGAGATTGATCTGATTGTCTTCTGCTACATGTACAGCCTTGCGTGCGGTGATGACCACCAGCATCACCACACCGAAACTGCAAACCACACAATAAACCAAGGCACCATTTTGAAACATGCTCATGTTACACGTCTTATGGTCATACTGGTACCTCGTTGTCGTCCTCTATCCAACGAAGGCCACCCTAGCTCCTATTTCAGGTAACCAAGCATCACCAAACTACTTGATCAGTCCAAGATGTCATAACAGACCTTCAATTTCAGGCATGCATCCCCTTGTTTTGAGGAAAAACAAACATGGAAAGCATATGCAAGCCCTAAAACCAAACCCTAAACTCCTTCCAAGCAAAATCGTACTCACGAACATTTCTCATCCACTCCAAACGCCAGAAGGATTTTGCAAGCCAATATGCTCACCTGTGCACATCTGCTGCTGGAGTGGCCTTATGAGACTGGTAGTAGGCAGGGTCGACATAGCCCGGTGTTCCCATCACTCGGGTGGCGGCTACAAACGTCCCCATAGCGGTGCCTCCACCCAACTTCACGAGTCCAAAGTCCGCAATCTTGGCCTGCCCATCCATAATAACAGCACCAATGTGCAGAATGAGGAGCATGTGGATGACTCCATGCTAGGCTGTTCAATACATTTGTTGAGAGGATGGATAAGAGTAGGCGCATTCCACCACATTGAAAGTAGGCATAATGAGTTGTCACATGGCTGCATTTTTGCGTCAAGGAGTATGTTGGCAGGCTTGATGTCGCGATGCACAATGCCAAAGTCATGAAGGTACTGCAACCCCTTTGCCACTCCAATCAGAATGTCCAGCCTCTGACGAAGCGAAAGGGTGTTGGAGACATCACGACCGATCCAGCTGTCAAGGTCGTTGTTGGGCATGAGCTCGTAAATCAAAGTCTGCTCCACGATTCGAGTGGAGACATCCAGATCAATGCAATAGCCCAACAGACGCACAAGATTCGGATGGTGCTTGCTTGCCATCTCTTGTACCTGGAGGAGAAATAGTGAACAGTTCAGAAAAGAAAGAATGTACCATTCAATCAGAAATATATGCTTGGAGTTGGAGAAGAAACCAAGAAGAAAATGTAGCACACTAACAACGAAACCTTTCAAGAAGGTACCTCTATTTGAAAGTCATTGGTGAGCACTCGAGCTCGTTTAACTGCCCAGACTTGATTGCAATCGTGGGGCGACACGCCCTTGTAGACATCCCCAAAGCTGCCACTTCCTATCTTGTTTCCCTCTGCCCACTCTCATGTAGCCATGGCCAGCTCTGCCAGGGAGTACTCTCGACACACATATGGCCGTGCTGCCTTTATCTCAACCACAACACCACCCCCCTGGCTCCCTTGTGCTCCTGCTAGTGGTAGCGCTGCTGCTGCTGCTGTTGCGGCCTCCCCTTCTGCTGTGGCTACTAGTAGCGCTACTGCTGGTGCTTCTGCTGCTGCTGCAGCCTTCCCTTCTGTTGCTTCTGGATCCTCATCCACATTCTTTGGTCCTGCAAAGATTTGAGAAAGTTGGTGAACGAGAAAAAAAAAATTACCTACTCTAGTTTTCTAGGGACCCATGATAGACCAGCAAGCACTAGATCTTCATTGGGAGAATCTTGTCATCCTGAAAGACTGGATGAACTGTCTGCGAGAAGATGTGCTCAGTCCCATCCATCGGAAACAAGTTTACCGGCCTGTACTCTGCCATGCCAAAGCTGTGAGACTGAATCTTTATCTCCACCCTCCCCTCACTCCCCCTTAAACGGAAATAGTGGACCGATAAAAGGAGCATGGAATAATAGACCACAATCTATGCTTGGATTTTGCAGAAGAAACCAACCAGAAATGTGGCTCTAACCTACCAATGATATCTCACAACAAGATACCTCTCTCTGGCACCAACGGATTCCGACCATAAACTCTTGCTTTTATCTCCCGCTTCCCCTCACTCCCCACCCACTCCAATCCATCCAGAGCAGATGGGGGCTTTTCCATGACAGTGTAGGCGTGCGGTTTGACAGGACCATACAGCTGCGCTTTCAGCTCCCGAATCTGTAAACCACATGTGCTAGGATTTTT